CAGAACTAATTACACGCTCACAGTTAATTATCACCACAGGAAACGCCCACCACGAAATTACTGATTTGCCTTTCATCTAGATGTAGTGCCTGGATAGTGCCACGAAGGCATACTAAGAGTCCGAAGTTCTCTTTATAATTTTTATGTTCTTGCATCTGACCTCCGACTCGCACATTTCATGCAGTTCAAAATCGCACGACATAAAAGTTACGACACCAGGTAAGGTTATGACAGGTAGATGAAACAGACGGTCAAACAGAAGTCACACCTAAAACTGCTAAATCAGGTTTAAGCCTGTCATTTATACAAGAGTCCACGTAACTAGAATAAGTCCAGTGTCTTTCAGCATGAGCTACGTCACAAATTCCTTGAAAACGTGCAACCTTAGAGATTGCCTACCACGAGATATTTCCTTTTTTTCCATACTTGTTACCCGTTATTCCAGTTTCTGTTCTGATCCAAATGTTTATTTCCTTTCCAGATTCCAGAATTGGACGATTTTCAACGCGCATCGTTCATCGCCGAAGTCATGAAAATACCATTTTAGAACCTAGAAATCCGTATCACAGAATAGAAGAGTCTGGCACGGTGTGAGGTATAAGCTAGTACTTGCCCAATTATCACGCAGAACTAATTACACGCTCACAGTTAATTATCACCACAGGAAACGCCCACCACGAAATTACTGATTTGCCTTTCATCTAGATGTAGTGCCTGGATAGTGCCACGAAGGCATACTAAGAGTCCGAAGTTCTCTTTATAATTTTTATGTTCTTGCATCTGACCTCCGACTCGCACATTTCATGCAGTTCAAAATCGCACGACATAAAAGTTACGACACCAGGTAAGGTTATGACAGGTAGATGAAACAGACGGTCAAACAGAAGTCACACCTAAAACTGCTAAATCAGGTTTAAGCCTGTCATTTATACAAGAGTCCACGTAACTAGAATAAGTCCAGTGTCTTTCAGCATGAGCTACGTCACAAATTCCTTCAAAACGTGCAACCTTAGAGATTGCCTACCACGAGATATTCGCTGCCTGTGTTTCCATACTTGTTACCCGTTATTCCAGTTTCTGTTCTGATCCAAATGTTTATTTCCTTTCCAGATTCCAGAATTGGACGATTTTCAACGCGCATCGTTCATCGCCGAAGTCATGAAAATACCATTTTAGAACAGTGAAGTACTTAAATAGTTAAATTGTTTTCACTTAAATACTTAAATTGTTGTTAGAACATAACTTAAATAATGTATTAGTTAAATTGTTTTTAGTTGGCGTATTATACATTTAAGGATAAAAATAACAAAACATGTTCATAAACTTTCGCTGCATGTGTTTCCATACTTGTTACTTATAATTCCAGTTCCTGTTCTGATCCAATGTTTATTTCCTTTCCAGATTCCAGGGATGGACGGCATTGAACTTCCGTCATTCACTGAAGAAATCGTGATTCTACCCCTTTAGTTACGTAGACTGTAATTATATAGGTTTAGTTAAATTAGTTAAATAGGTAAATTCCTTTAGTTAAGTAGTTAAGTTGTTTTATTTAAATAGTTAAAGTGTCTTTGGTTAAATTGTTTTTAGTTCACATATTATATATTTAAGAATAAAAATTATAAAATATGTTCGTAAACTTTCGCTGCATGTAATTGCATACTTGTTAGCCGTAATTCCAGTTCTGATCTGATCCAAATGTTTATTTCTTTTGCAGACTCCAGAAATGGACGACGCGGTGTTTGCATCGGCCATTTAAGACATCGTGAATCAACCAAATTAGTATAGTTAGGGCAGTTTCAGTTAAATAGTTAAATTGTTTTTATGTAAGACTTGAGGTTCTCACAGCGGTGAGTATGAAGATTTCCGTCTTCTGGGTTGTTGCGCAACAACCCAGAAGACGGAAATCTTCAAATTGTTTTTAGTTTAGCTGTTTATATTTTATATAAATAGTTCAATTGTTTGTGAAAAAGTTAAAATGTATTAGTTTATTTGTTTATATTTTAGTTAAATATTTTAATTGTTTTAGTAAAAAAGTTAAATAGTGTTTCTAATTAAATTGTTTTAGTTTAATTGTTT